CTGGAAGAATTTTCGGATATCACGACCACCATTGTGGGTAGACGAATCTCAATATTGGCCATAGATTCTGTATCATACGAACACGTGGGAAATTATAGCTGCGAGGCCGAGAATAAAGCTGGGACTACGCGATTTTCAGCTCAGCTGCTAGTGAACGGTTATCAGTCGACATTAATATTTTTCTCAATAGTTCTTTTGCTTCTTAGCTTCTATTTTGTTGCTGTACTCCCCTAAAACCATCATCATCATCATCATTTGGACTACGTCGTGATGAATGAATATCACTTTGTCAAAGGATGATATAAATATAGTACAACAAACAGTTTGTTCTATGAAGGTTATGAGGTTGTTTTTGCAGTACCGCCCCAAATAACCCCGTTCGATTTCGGAACTACCCCTGTAAATTCTGGTGATATGGTGACCGTCTTTTGCACTGTCAACAAGGGAGACGTGCCCATTGGTATACGGTGGCTGTTCGACGGTAGGCCCATCGACCATCTACAGGGCGTGTCGATAACTCGAACCAGCAAACGCATCACCCAGCTGACGATAGAAGAGGTGCACGAAATCCACATCGGCAATTATACGTGCGCTGCCAAGAACGCGGCTGGAGTGGCGAGACATTCGGCAACGTTGCACGTCAACGGTACCTAAAGGTGTACTAGATTTAGATGAATGCACAGGAGTTGATCACTTGCCGATGTAAATGTCTATGTGTCACCTAGATGTTGTGTTCTTTGTCCTTTGCGGAGCTGTTTCAGTTTGTGTTTCGAGGTATGGTTTTTTTTCTCATTCCACCTCCCATAACAACATTTTTTCACAATCGCTCACTCTATAAATTGTCCTAAGCGAATATGAGAGCTCTTTCAGTGTATCCCTTTATTTAACAGATTTTTTTATTCTTCTGTAGTTTTTCCAAGAATCACTCCCTTTTACTTTGAAGACAACCCCTTGCATGCCGGAGAGTATGCTCAAGTGAACTGTCTAGTAGCTGCCGGGGATTTACCCTTGAATATTTATTGGATGCTCAATTGGAGGAAACTGGATGACTTTCCTGGAATTTCAATATCAAAAGTGGGGAAGAGAAGCTCATTACTCACTATTGAATCTGTTTCTCACTCGAGTGCTGGAAACTATAGCTGCCATGCCAATAATTCAGCTGGGGAAGCGGTTTTCACCACAGAACTTCTGGTTAACGGTCAGAGCACATAGTTGATCGTATTTTTTCTTCCTTTGTTCCTTCCCCATTCCTTCCTATCTGAAATAGTTAAGCAGTGGTGCAATGTTTCAACGTTTTGAACACAACATTAATCTAGTATACCTACGAATAAATCACCTAGTGAAACACTAATACATTCTCAACAATAAAGTTCATATCATATGAGATTTTCGTCATAAATAGAAAAAACATGAGGGCCGGTTGATCAAATGCAACTCATCTGTCAGATAATGTTTAACAACCAGTTTAATCAGAAAGGTCAGGTTATGTTTTATCAAGCAGTTAAACTGTCCAATAGCTTTCCGTTAGTTCCAACTGTCAGATAAGTCAAATAACTGCAGCTCTACCCATAATATACCACATAATTCAAGTTTTGCTTTATGTCACATAAGATATATAGATAAGATGAAGATAATTATAAAGCGAAAGGACCCCGCACCATTGACATTGAAATCTTGTCTACGATAAAATTTTGTGAAAATCTAGGATTTGATAGATCAAATTATACTGAACAATAAAAAAATGTCCTTTGGTCCAAGGTTCGTTATGCCCGTCAAAAAAAGTTATAGGCTGTTGAAGCCAAACGAGATAACCTGCTCTATCAGAACAGCACATTCTGTGTATAATATGGTTTTGGCTGATATGATATTTTTGAGTTGTCAGATAATGGTCATTCATGTTATGTCAGTAAAAGTCATTGAGCAAAGCGTATTACTTTGTTCAAATACGTTGCAAGTCTCGACCGGGGACTATTAGTGGCCTTTCCGTATAACGTATCAGCGTTGACATATTCCCGACAAAATTAGGCATTTTCAGGGATAAAAATATTATTTACAATATAAACATTGACTCTAGCAACTAATGATAGGTGAAGTAAATTATTATTTGCGCCACAAAATATGCACACTCTTGCATGGATGGGAGAGGCAACATTCAGGTTCATAGAATGAACGTTATCTCGAATTCCAAGTTCCTCTATAATGTGTCAATTATAGTTCGGTTAGGGGTATATCCTCTCTTTCTTGAACGTGTCGACGATATATTGCGATTGCTTGCTGCTCAACATTTTGATCTCCATCGATGCGTGCCATAGCATTAATATTGACTTCTTTATCGCATATAAAGGAACGAAGCCTATTCTGATAAGCCATCTTATATGTATGTGAACAAAGTAATACGCTTTGCCCAATGATTTTTACTGACATAACATGGATGACCATTTTCTGACAACTCAATAGTATTATATTAGCTAAAACCATGTTCTGGTAGGCAGGTCGTTATCTCGTTTGGTTTCAAGAGCTTATAACTTCTTTTAACGGGCATAACGGACCTTGGACCAAGGGACATTTCTTGTTCAGCATAAATTGATCCATCCAATCCTAGATTTTCACGAAATTCCACCGTAGACAAGATTTCAATGTAAATGGTGCGGGGCTTTATTCATCGAAATCCAAGTAAATCCTCTATCATTTCCAATATTGACAATACAGCTTCTTTCGGCATACTGAATCTTTCATTGAAATCATAGTCATACCATTTGCCAAAATTATCCACTCTTTTCCTTACTGCATGAGACATTCGATCGTGTTGAAGAATTTTCATGATAGCTACGTCCTCATCGCTATCAAACACCTAATTTTCCACAAAATCCATAATATTATAAAAATCAAAAATCAATTCAGACAATAACTTGAGCATGAGCAACAATGACAGCAGGTTAGAGTTTCATTATTTGTGTACAGAATATTTCTAGTGGATAGAAGAGAAAAACCAAACTAGAACTTTATCTGCAGGCTGACGGATAATTAACTACCTGATAAAATCGGCCCCGACTCTCAACAATTACCTTGAGTTACAGATGATTCTTGTATCTCTGAATTTCATTATACCTTGACAAAGTACAATACAACATTTTAAACTATATATTATTACAAGGTTAATGAAGTTACCGTACTCACGACACGCCTCAGTCCTTTGCACTCTTCGTTTATTCCGGACCATGGACCATATCTCCCGTGTTTTATTCCAGTCTTGCCCCACATTGTTCCCTTCGATTTCGGAGAATCAGCCGTTCACGTCGGTCAAACCACCCAGCTGACTTGCCTGGTATCGGAAGGGGACGCTCCCCTGGACATCTCCTGGACCTTCGACGGTACGCCGATCGAATCTGACTCCGATAGCGGTGTTGGTACGACCAAGATTGGTCGGAAAGCCAGTTTGTTGCTGATCGATTCGGCCAGAGAGACGCACGCAGGGGATTATACGTGTACGGCCTCCAATCCGGCCGGATTTGTGTCCCATGGAGCTACTTTGAACGTCTACGGTACATTGGGGAGGATCGGGAGGTGTCTTGTTTCTCTTGTTTATAAGTCACCGAAAAAGTCTATTCGCACTGTCTGTTTAGGCGGGAATGTACAAAGATGCACACACAAGTTCTGATTGTCTAATATTCTCGTTCAATTTTGTGTGTTTTGGTCTTCTTCTGTTTCTAACTCGAATGTGATATGGTGGAAAAATCCCAGCGTACTAACCTGTCTTTCCTCGATTTCCTAACCTCAAAAGCTGGGATTTTAGGGTCTTCCTGTCTATCCGTTCCCAGCACTGATTTTTTTCATCTGTCTTTTGGTTCACCTGTTGCATGCTTCTCTTACGTTGTCACTAATTTTCTTTCATTTTTAATGGAAATCATAAAATATCAGTGGTGCCACAGGATTCGCACAAATTGACTGATATTTTGTATTTTTTCTAGCACGAGTCAGAAATGATATCATGGCATCATGGAACATAATTTTCCAAATTGTTTTCAGTCTGTTATAATCATAGAAGTTGTCCAAATACTGTCGATGCAAATTGGATATCATTTCTTACGATATAAACACTAACAAATTTAAAAGTTTCGGACTAATGCATGTGAAAAGACTGATTGAACGAACTTTGTGTGAGATATTTCTTGATAAACTTTTAATTCTTCCAAATACCTATGGACAAGAATATTCAGAAGTCACTTCAATCTAAAAATTGACCCTTGTAAAAAATATTAGCAAGAATTCCAATTGTTACTTCATAGCATCATTTGAGACGTTCACACAATCTTTTTTTCTTCAAAATTATTAGACAAATCGCATGCCAACCAAAGATTTGTTAACGTGAACTAGGGTCTCTTGATGCAAATTGACGTATTTGTCATCTTAACAGGGTACGGACAAATCCTCGACTCCTCTCACTCTTAAGTGTTTGTGAAACAGTTATATAGTTCCATCCTTATTCAATTCTGGGGATAAACACTACATTTCTGCATTTCCTATTTATTAGGTTATATTGAGGACATTGGCGTATCATACGAAATTTCCACATGGAATTCCTGATTTCACTCTTCATAAAATATCTTTTTTACTCCTCCGTTTAAATCAAAACTGTTTCTACTATTATGCATTCAAAAAGTTCTTGAGTGGATGGAGAGTGCTGATGTATTTACCGATTTTCCCAATTCTTTCTCTTCACTTTCCATGTTCTTAGTTCATTTGCATTTGTTGGAAAGCTGACAAATTCAAATTTGACATCCAACTGATTGATACAGCCTAACGCAGCACATTTGACCATCCTCCCAAAACTAAGTACTAATTAAAATTTTGTAAGATTTCTTTCAACGCTTATGAATGTGACGTGACAGCAAAGAGAAAGGGGCTATGGTCTGTCCGTACCCTGTTAAGATGACAAATACGTCAATTTACATCAAGGGACCCTAACGTGAATGAAATTCCTGATGAACTGTTATTTTTAGTGCCTCCAAGGTGGATCTTGGAACCTACAGATAAAGCATTCGCTCAAGGTTCTGATGCAGTAGTCGAATGCAAAGCCGATGGTTTCCCCAAGCCTGTTGTTACATGGAAAAGGGCAACTGGTTAGTGATAAGAAGAAGAATCATATTCGAAACTTATATGAAAAATTGTTTTTGTAGGGGTTTCACCTGGCGACTATAAAGATTTCAAACCGAACAATCCTGACATCAAAGTCGAGGATGGTACACTAATGATTAACAATATACAAAAAACTAATGAAGGTTACTATCTATGCGAAGCAGTGAACGGTATTGGTTCTGGATTGTCAGCTGTCATTCTCATCAGCGTTCAAGGTAAGACATCATGGCATCAAAATTGATTGCAAACTGTATTTGTGAACTTTTTTTCTCATCTTTAAGCGCCTCCACAATTTGATGTGAAATATCGAAACCAAACCTCGAGAAGAGGTGATCCGGCAGTCTTGCAGTGCGAAGCCAAGGGTGAAAAACCGATTGGAATCATTTGGAACATCAATAATAAACGTCTGGAACCGAAAGGAGATAACAGGTATGCCATATTGGGTCTTTTCGAGTCTTACCGACTGCGCCAATCGAATTCATTTGACGTTTGAGAACTGCCTGATTTGATAATAATCATGATAACAAAGTTTCACTGACAAGCTACTGGATTTTTCTTTAAGGCTCCCTGAGAAAAAAATTTTTTGAACGCAGTGACATTTTGGGGCAAATCATCTGATTTGTTTCACTACAAATATATTGAAATAATACGCAAATTCATAGAAACGAGGAGAGAAAATCCCAAAAAAATCAAGTGAAATGAATGTACCATCTCCTCGATTAACCTACAGACAGTATTCTAGTTTTATTGGATCTGAAATTCATACCATCAAAATTAAAACGCCTAAATATCATATATTTCAAAAAAGAAGTTAAAAGTTGGCTCATAGAAAATGCGAACAAAATCGATCAACTCTATTTTTCTTCATCTCAATTCATTCTCATTATTGTATGAATTGATTATTTGTTTTCAGTTCAAGTATTTATATCATGGAAAAACAATTTTATACGTGAAATACTTCATCTCTTTCACATACAGGTCACTAACCTATGTGAAGGAGATACAATATGAAATATATATACATGTAATTGATATTCGATGACAAAATGTAGATTTTACTTAATTCAATAAATGAATGAAACGTGATTGAATTTGTCGGAAATCAATGAATCTGTGTTCGAACAGATACACCATCCGAGAGCAAATTCTGCCCAACGGCGTCCTCTCCGATCTCAGCATCAAGCGAACGGAGCGCAGCGATTCCGCCACGTTCAGTTGCGTGGCAACAAACGCCTTCGGCAGTGACGACACCAACATCAACATGATCGTGCAGGAAGTACCGGAAGTACCCTACGGCTTGAAAGTATTGGACAAATCCGGTAAAACGGTGCAATTGTCTTGGGTGTCGCCGTATGATGGAAATTCGCCCATCAAGAAGTTCATTATCGAGTATAAACCGAGCAAGGGTAGTTGGGACAAGAATTCCGAGCGGGTTTTGATACCGGGAGATCAGACTGAGGCGGGGATTTTCACTTTGCGGCCTGCTACTACGTACCACATCCGGATCATTGCAGAGAACGACATAGGTGAGAAGACACTACTTCCAATTTCACCGGAAACGACCCCAATTTCTAATTTTTGAATGGGACACCCTGTATTCTATTCCATAATCGGTTAGGAATTACCATGACGAATTCAACGATACCGGGTTTGATAGGGTTATTTCAAACTATTACGAAGATATTTGCGTTCGAAGTTTTCATATGCTCGATGAGTGTGACTTCGCAATATCAAAACTTCTTTTCTCTGTCACACTCAAACTTAGAACTCGAATATCTGCGTAATCGTTTGAAATAACCCTATCATACTTTTGAATCAAAAGTTGGGGTCGTTTCCACAAAACTTGTTTCGTTAATTAATGAGCAATCTGGTATACTAGCTGCCCACCAATTTTCAGAATCCTATCCCGAATAATTCAAAAGACAGTCCTGGCCGTTTTTGGTGCACTTCTCTGTATTCTGCATTACCGATCTCTACCCTCCGCTACTCAAGTAAAAGTAGTTCATTTTGTCGCTCATAGGTACCGCCACCTATAATAATAAATTACTGAATTCATTTCTGTTCTAAGAATTGGTTGTGTAAATAATCGGGGATATTATCAATTCTTGATTGTGTAATTTGATGAGTAGGTAGTTGATATTGAAATCCCAATTCAATAACTTGTGAATCATCTCGAGATCCTGTAACACTGATGCGTCTACCTAAACCTAGATCCTCCCATTCCATTCTCATTGTCCCGTATCAACTGTTCACGGACGGTCGAATACATTAGAGACGAGAAAGGAAAATGAATTTAACTATTGAAATCAAGCGATATCTTGTTTCAATAAACAAATACACACATGAACAGACTGGTGATTCAATTTTTTGTTTTTCTTTAACTTTAATGGTGTTAACTGTCAAAAAATGATTCCATTAAAGACCTGATTCTTCTAGAAAAATAATTAGCTATGCTCTATTGACGCCAATTCTAGTTTTAACTAGGTACAACTAGAATTGATGTTTAGAAGTCCTATGAAATTTTACTGGAATATACAGCTGGGTTGATCATTATAGCCTTGATTGTTTATATTAACAAGATGATGCACTTCCTTGTAAAATGTTGAAGCAAAATAATTCCTGACTAGTTTGTAGGTGGCGCTAACAAAATTCTTGTCTATGCTCTCGAAATCCGGTCGAGTCCTTCTATCCGCAAGTCACTGAACCATTTACGAATATCCTCTTTGAAGCAGGAAAATTGCTAACTTTGATATTCTGAAGGCTTTGAACGAAATATTTCAATCCGATCCTGAAGCAACATTTCTTCTTGCTCAAAAGCATTCGAAAATAAACACAAGACAAAATGTTGTTCACCTTGTCGCCCATACTGCCACTTACTGAAGAGAATTTCTAGCTTCATTGCTCTCATAAGGATGGTTCATCTTGTTAGTGTAAATAATCGATCCAACAAAACAATTTTTTTCCTCTAATTCTGTAGGATCCAGCGATCCTTCTGATACAGTAACTATCATAACTGCGGAAGAAGTACCGAGTGGACCTCCCACTAACATCAGAGTGGAAGCGGAGGATCAACATTCGCTGATCGTTTATTGGAAGCCGCCATTGAGAGAGCAGTGGAACGGTGACATTCAAGGTTACTACGTTGGATACCGGTTGGCCAATAGCGATAAGCCGTATCTCTTCGAAACTGTCGAGTTTCAGAGGGACGAAGAGGGCAAAGAACATCACTTGAAGGTGAGAGATCGATGTTCAGTAACCTCTTTATCCGTTTCATTAGAGACCCACCTAAATGTTTACAGAGTCAGAATCCTCGTGAGATTTTACGTGGATCTAGATGGTTTTTGATGCGAAATTCGGATTTGTTCAAATTTAGCTTGAATTTGTAACTTCGTTATTCGTTGGATTAGAAACAGAAATGTGTATTGATTCAGGATCCCCGTCACATTTCACGTCGATCTAGATAGTTCTCAATGCGAAATTCGGACTTTTAAAATTTTGCGATAGAATTTGTAACTTCGTTATCCGTTGGATTAGAAACACAAATGTGTATAGATTCAGGATCGTCGTGAGATTTTTCGTCGATCTAGAAGGTTTTCAATGCGAAATTCGGAGTTTGTAAAATAGTTTCGCAAGAATTTGTAACTTCGTTATCCGTTGTTCCGTATTTCTTTGGCTTTCCTTTCAAAAACTCATTGTTGAAGTATCTTATCTCGTTGGCAACTGTAGATTTCCAACCTGAAAACGTACACGCAATACTCGGTCGTGGTGCAAGCGTTCAACAAAGTGGGCGCCGGTCCCACCTCCGAGGACTTCAAGGCCAATACGGCTGAGGGGGTGCCCGAACAACCCCCCGAGAAGGCCACCTGCACCACCCTCACCGCCCAAACGATAAGGGTGTCTTGGGTGTCGCCCCCATTGACCAGCGCCAACGGGGTCATCAAGGGCTACAAGGTCATCTACGGCCCCTCCGATACGTGGTTCGGTGAGTGGCGATTGGATTTTTCATATTTTGAATTGATATACAACGAAAACTTTACACCCCGGTTTCAGTACTTCAAAATCAAAATCTGGAATAACGTTCGAACCCATCGACTTCTGATTTGAGAAGGAACGAGTTGTCTGCTTTCTTAATCAGAAACCTTCAGAAACCAACGAGCAGTTTCCCGAATTTCCATTTTAAAGCTCAAAAATCGGGGTTTAAAGTTTTCGTTGGGCCACCCTGTATTTTTTTATTTATAAACATATGCTTTCGAGGTACATTCTCACAACTTCATTTTATGTGTTATCTCTCAGAAGTGGATTGAACGCATCAAAATAATCAAGGTTGTCCAACATTAAAAAACCGCACAGAGATCGTACCATAATAATTTAATTGAGACATTTCGAGTTCTAAGTAATACTTCATTACAAAACTTAGAGTATGGTACTGATATATTTTCCACAATTCATGCGACTATGATAGGCATTACATTATAAAAGTCATTATCATTAAAATAGATAAACATCAGATCACCAATATTGAATTTCATTTCATTTTGATTTGATTTGTTGATTCATTCAGATTCGTGGTATTCTCATTGGATTAAATAATTTCATTTTATACAATATCTTCAATAATCTGTCCTTTTTTTCCACAATTTATGTAGCTATGATAGTCACTTCATTTTAAAAGACATAGCAAAGCAACATGTTAATGTCATTATCAATGAACATCATCATATTGTGCTATTCAAATCCAGAAGACTCCATAGTTTTTGTGACATGTATTATATCTGACCCTGATAGTTTTTCGCTGCTCGTTGTCATTTTCAATATGATCTTCTTCGATTTGACAGATGAAAACACTAAGGACACCAAGATAACCGCTTCGAGCGAGACCATCTTGCATGGTCTCAAAAAGTACACGAACTACAGCATGGAAGTTTTGGCATATACCTCTGGCGGCGATGGCGTCCGAACTACCCCCATCCACTGTCAAACTGAACAAGACGGTAAGTTCAATTTTTCGAGGAAGAATATTCCTCTGACTTGACTTGAGCTTACAGTTTACATATCTGTCAAAATTTACATTTTTTAACACGCTTATACAGTGCTTTTCTTCAATGGGTCTTGTGACACGTTCTTTTGAAGCTCCTGACGAATACTCCACAACCTTAGAATATAAAGTCAATATCTTCACCTATTACATGAAAATATTCATCGAACAAAATTAAATAGTTATCAACATCATAGCTATACCGGGTGACACAGGAGACATGTAACAGCTTGTAGTTTTTTTGTTTGAAGAGATAAAAATTTGAAATTCACAAGGGTTATATTGTCGATGATGGCGCTTTCCTTGAACCCAATGACAATTTTCTTCAACCACCTGTTTGATCGGAAGTAAACCCAACTTTTTTTTAAATGGCACCCCAAGTGAGTTATTTTCGGATGATTTTTTCGAACTCAATAAAATTATTGGCAATCTTCTGGGGCCGATTAGGGTATGGAAAATATTCTGATAATATCGTCTAAGTAATGATCTTTGGATTTCTAAGCCTATCAAGCATCGAAATGTCATTGCATTCAGGCCACAGCCAACTTCACGTATTTCAATAAAATGCAATTCAATAGCCAATTAATGAACGGATATCAAATTGTAATACATAGTTGAATATAGAATTTCAAGGCAAATAAGATAGGCTATAGAAATATACAAGGTGCCGTTTGACAAAATAAGTTGGGTCTACTTCCGATCAAACAGGTGATTGAAGAAAATTGTAATTGGGTTCGAGGGGAGCGCCATCATCGATAATATAACACTTGTGAATTTAAAACTTATATCTCTTCAAATAAAAAAACTACAGGCTGTTACATGTCTCCTGTCACCCAGTATAAACCTAGATAATTGCAGAGAAACGAATTTCGTGATCTTTGACCCTAAATAACTTACGACGCAGACACAATACTTTTGAGACAACTTTCAGAACATCAAAATGAAGGTGTCTACGATTTTCCAGCTTATTATCTTTCACTCCTAGATTGGCCCTTTCTCTCCTAAATTACTAGAGAAATAATAAGTATCCAGTGTCGAAATACAAAAACGAAAACATAATGTTTTCGATTATCAACACAGATATTTCAACCAATCAAAAAAGTCTATTCTGGAACGAGTGGAATAATCATTATTATCATTAGTTCCCGAGGCTCCCACCGCCTTGAAAGCCCTCGTCATGTCGGCCGAATCGATTCTGGTCAGCTGGAAACCCCCTACAGAGCCCAACGGCATCGTCGAGTATTACATGGTGCACTACAAGGCGACCGGCCAAGACGACAAGGAGAAGCCCAAGTCGCAGAAGATCGTGCCGAATCTCAAAAATCAGAACTTGAGCTACCAGGCGAAGAATCTCGACAGCAATTTGAAGTACGAGTTTTGGGTGACGGCCGCCACTACCATCGGCGAGGGGCAGTCTTCGAAGAAGGTTACGGTCTCGCCCAGTGCCAGCGGTGAGTGATAATAATTTTTATTTTATTTTCCAAAATTTTCAGACACCCTGAACTAAACACATTTTTAAAATGTATTTTTGGAAAATTTTACAATAACCCATTAGGGAACTTTTTGTTGAATATATGTATTCTATATGTATTCTAATTCCGCTTGTACCATAATGATGTCTTTGATCTCGAATTTTTCTTGTAAATAATTGACGAGTAAGTAATCTACACTTTTGGATTTGCTTTTTGGAAATTTTCATAAATATTACTTACTTGCCGGTATAGCACTGATGATGGCTTTTTAGCCGAAAGCGCTTTGCGATTTGATAATAAATTTTACACGAAATACAAAATCTCTTCATTCTATTCATCCTAGATCTCTTTGTTATGAGATTTAGTTCAATAATAAACTGGATGTTATATTGGAAGAACGTGGAATATTACCTTGGAAATCACTGCACATCACAGATCTTATATCAAATTATGAATTTAATAATTATAATGATATGATTGGATTATTTGGAAAATTGTCTCATAAGAAGCTCGTGTGAGACTGTTCGGGGACAAAAATACTTAATGTTCTTCGCAAGTACTGATTTATGTTGGGGCATTCGCCAAATGCATATCATTAAAAATTTCCCAGCAGTTCAAGGTTTTTGCAAGGGTGGAAGACGGTTTCGGAAAGTGAAAAATTCTGTCATAGCCAAACGAAAATAATTGTATTTCAGTCCCCGCGAAAACGGCCTCTTTCGACGACACCTTCACCACAACTTACAAGGAGGACGTGACGTTGCCTTGCCTGGCCGTAGGGGTGCCTACACCTGTCATCACGTGGACCATCAAGGGGGTGAAGTTTTCCACGAATTCCAACGACAGAATCCGGCAACATCCCGACGGGTCTTTGTTTATCAGGGATATCACGCGAACCGATGCCGGGGAATATTCTTGCAGGTGAGGAATTTGTTTATATTCGAATTAATTCGTGTGAAAATATGTTCACGATCTGAAAACATTCCACATTGATAGGATATGAGAAATTTAATAGTGAATTATCATAAGTAAAAACATTTGAGGAACATATCGATCCGGCTCGAAGGACCAATCTGTTTGCTTAAACTGCTCGTTCCTACCTGTGAATTCCTGATTTCCAAAAATCGCAAAAATTCCTGAAAATTGCAAAAATTGCAAAAATTCCTGAAAATTGCAAAATATGCAAAAATTCCTGAGATTTGCAAAAATCGCAAAAATTCCTGAAAATTGCAAAAATCGCAAAAATGCCTGAAAATTGCAAAAATTGCAAAAATTCCTGTAAATTGCAAAAATCGCAAAAATTCCTGAAAATTGCAAAAATCGCAAAAATTCCTGAAAATTGCAAAAATCGCAAAAATGCCTGAAAATTGCAAAAATTGCAAAAATTCCTGAAAATTGCAAAAATCGCAAAAATGCCTGAAAATTGCAAAAATTGCAAAAATTCCTGAAAATTGCAAAAATCGCAAAAATGCCTGAAAATTGCAAAAATTCCTGAAAATTGCAAAAATCGCAAAAATTCCTGAAAATCGCAAAAATGCCTGAAAATTGCAAAAATTGCAAAAATTCCTGAAAATTGCAAAAATCGCAAAAATGCCTGAAAATTGCAAAAATTGCAAAAATTCCTGAAAATTGCAAAAATCGCAAAAATTCCTGAAAATTGCAAAAATCGCAAAAATGCCTGAAAATTGCAAAAATCGCAAAAATTCCTGAAAATTGCAAAAATCGCAAAAATCGCAAAAATGCCTGAAAATTGCAAAAATTGCAAAAATTCCTGAAAATTGCAAAAATCGCAAAAATTCCTGAAAATTGCAAAAATCGCAAAAATGCCTGAAAATTGCAGAAATTGCAAAAATTCCTGAAAATTGCAAAAATCGCAAAAATTCCTGAAAATTGCAAAAATCGCAAAAATTCCTAAAAATTGCAAAAATTGCAAAAATGCCTGAAAATTGCAAAAATGCCTGAAAATTGCAAAAATCGCAAAAATTCCTGAAAATTGCAAAAATCGCAAAAATGCCTGAAAATTGCAAAAATTGCGAAAATTCCTGAAAATTGCAAAAATCGCAAAAATTCCTGAAAATTGCAAAAATCGCAAAAATGCCTGAAAATTGCAAAAATCGCAAAATTGCCTGAAAATTGCAAAAATCGCAAAAATTCCTGAAAATTGCAAAAATCGCAAAAATTCCTGAAAATTGCAAAAATCGCAGAAATGACTGAAAATTGTAAAAATTGCAAAAATTCCTGAAAATTGCAAAAATCGCAAAAATTCCTGAAAATTGCAAAAATCGCAAAAATTCCTGAAAATTGCAAATCGCAAAA